CTGAAGAGAGCTACTGCATCGCAAAGCATACCGAGATCCACCCGCCCGCTTCTACTGCGAAACAAGGAAAGCCCATACGAAAATTTCTGAGTCGCGCTACTCCTGCGATGAAACCGCAACACCTACCGGACTACGTCAATAGCGAAAGCACGACGCGAAAGGCCAACACCGTTTTTGTTGAGTGTGGTCAAAAAGTAAATGATGCTGATGGTCTTCTGGAACTTCTCAGTGAACATGTCCAGAACAACCTCGTGAAGATAGGCAAGAAATTTTTCCGCCAACGCAACGGCATTCCTCAAGGCTCCGTGCTATCCAGCCTCCTTTGCAATTTCTTCTATGCCGAGCTTGAGCGAAAGGTCCTGAGTTTCATCAAACCCGAGGATTCTCTCCTCCTGCGACTCGTGGACGATTTCCTCCTGGTCACACCGGATGTAGCTGTGGCAATGCAGTTCCTGGAAGTAATGATTAGGGGCCAACCATCGTACGGTGTACAGGTCAATCCAGCGAAAAGCATGGCCAATTTCAGCGCAGCGGTTGACGGGATTTTACTTCCCAGATTAGAAGGAAGCACATTATTTCCATATTGCGGTAGTCTCATCGACACTCACACGCTGGAATTCCACCGCGATCAAGGCCGCATCCTTCAGGGCGGCGAGTCGGCTGCTGCTACTCTCTCCGATGCCTTAACCGTTGAAGCCGCCCGCCTACCCGGCCATACCTTTCACCGCAAAATGCTCTCCTCATTCCGTCTGCAGCTATATTCCATGTACATTGATGACGGACACAATTCGCGCGCAGTTGTGCTAGCCAACCTCTACTGCAGCTTCATCACTGCTGCCATGAGGATGTACCGCTATATGAAGTCGCTTCGGGGTCGTGCGCATCCCGGCCCTGCCATCATAACACAGACTATCCGCGATCTGATTTGGCAGACGAACCGTTATATCCAGGCCCGGCGTGCTGGTAATTCGGAGTCCCCATTCTCGTGTTTCGTTCAGCGATCCCATTTACAGTATCTGGCTTCTGCGGCATTTCGGTTTGTTTTGAAGCGCAAGCAAACACGGTATGCGGTGGTGCTGCGCTGGCTAGACTCGCTGAGTAAAGATTCTCGACCCACATCAGATTCCGAGGCTTCGAGAATAGCACAGGTAGTGAAGAAGGGAAATGCTATGTTTGAGGAATGGCGGTTCTAGAATAGTTAGTGCTGGCGGAATGTCTGCAAATTCAAATAACCGGTGTAATTGTACGATCAATTGCCCTTGACTTGTATAATTGCACAATTATACGCTCATCTCCCTGGGGCCAATTAAATAGTGCATACAGTGCCACAATCTATTCAGCCCGCCAGCATCATTGGGCACAAATCCGGCTAAATCCGATTGAAACAGATCAGGGTTCAGGGGTTCAAATCAAGATATCTTTGATCTGTGTTCAGAGACTTTCAAGGCTATGTAGGTTATCCCTTCCCATCTGGGTAGAGATCAGTTTCCATCTACCGTCTACCACATACAACATAGAATGTGTTGAATACTTTATCGCTACTTCTTCATAGCCCCTTTTTACCCTAGTGAAACGAGGTAGCGCCGAGGTACCCCCCTGTTCTCAGCCAGACCGAGTGCGGCATAACGGCCTGAGGCTCTCCGCTTGCAATCTTGAGCATCACGGTTTCTTCTTCTCACTCTCTTTTGGATTCTCATTGTCTTCGTCTCTCGTTTGAATCTTTTACTTCTTTTCTGCTTACTTCCACCCCCACACTCTTTTCCTACTGTTTTTGTTTACCCTCTACACCCCCCTGGCCCTCAATGGTCACCCCGTAATATTCTCTCCTGATCCCTCTTTACACGACTACACCTGATCTGGATCTCATCAGGCTGCGGCTGTGCCTGCAATTCGTTTCAACATTAATCGACTTCTATTGCGGTATTATTATTTCCTGTCTGGAAACGCCTGACCATTCTCATTCAAAAACACCGATCTTCACGTCCGTTGTTGACCCCTTCCGGACATCCGCCAATTTCCTCCCACCCTGTGTACTTTTTCAGGTCGATCATAATTGCGGGGATCAATACATCTGAATAATTACATGAGATCATGACCACCGTTTTCCCGACACCCAATTCACCCCCCGAGCTCTCCGGGTCCAAATCCTCCAAATCCTCCTCGTTTCATTCCTCCTCCCACCTGGACGGTGCGGAGAGTATCTTTACGGACATCTCGAATTTTGAAGACATTGGCTTGGAAGATGATACCGATTTGACATACGCCGATCCTCGAGGCTCCTACGCCCGCTCTGGGGTGATGGCACGGTCGCCCGCCGCCAGAATATCAAGCAAAGTCCCTGCGGCCTCAACTCGCGACTTGACCGCTGTCCCCAAGCCTCGCAAGCGAAGCCCCCTGCCCCCGCTCCACAGCGGATCGACCAATGTGTCGGCAGGCTCCCTCACTGCGAGAACTGCAGCCCGAAAGGATCCAGGCAACACATTGCATTCACCCGGTTTGACACCATCGCAAGCTCGCCGGTCACGGTCTGTCTCACCACTACGGCCGACATCCAGTCGCTCCGCCTCGAGCACCAGCCTGGGTCTCTCTCCGCTATCTGCACGAGTGCCCATCCAGAAACAAACTTGGCAACCGAATCGCAAGTCGGTCAAAGATTTGGAGGAAGAATACCATGACTCGGACGATGAACTACCGGACGATGCAAGTCTGTGGAACATCCCTATTTCTCCGCGCCCAGTTCAAGATCGGGCTCCATCACGGTCTGCCAGTCCAAATGGGCGCAGCCCCGGGCGGCGACCACTGCCTATCCAGCACGTCATACCCGGGAGCGATAAGCAAGCGTCCGAAAATACGGCCAGGGCATCCCGCATGAAGCGTATACCCCGATCGAGCTCCGCAGGACCGGAGCGTGGACAACTGTCGCCACGCAACCCTCGTACCTACTCGTATAACAGTTTCCTATCTGACTTGTCGGAGGAAGCTAAGATCATCACTGAAGCTCTGGAGCTGCATGCTGATGATAGAGATCGCAAGCGGGAGGAGCATATTCAAACCGGTGCTCTGCGGAAGTCCAGCGAGGACTCGCATCGCGCATCCCGTGATGCTGTCGCTTTACCTCCTCTGCAGAAATCAAATATCATGATCGATCCGCTGCCAATTAGCAAGGAGAAAGAAAGGGTCCTCACGCGGACACGCCCCAGCTGGCTTCCGCCTAAGGACCAGAAGGAGGAGAGAAAACATCTAAAGCAGTATCAGCAAATGATGGCCCAGTCTCGAGAAATCGGTATGTGCAAGACAAGATCCGTAAAGTATTGTCGGCCTTCTAATTGGTATTTCAGAGAAACGCAAAGCTGCCAGGGAGGCAAATGCACAGTGTGAAAAGGATAACACTCGAGCTACACTGCAGAACATCTGGGATGAATATGTGTATCCGAATTGGGACCGCGCTCTCCGCGAGCCCCGAATTCGCGAGTTATGGTGGCGTGGAATTCCGCCTCGCAACCGGGGCACCATATGGAAACGAGCCATTGGCAACGAACTAGCTTTAACCGAGGAAACCTTCACTAAAGCGTTGCTCCGAGCAAAGGATCTCCAAGGCAAGAAAGATGTAGAAAGCGAGAACAGCAAACGACTACTGGACTGCTTTGAGGCAATCGAAACGGACGTGCCCAAGGCCTTCCCAGATCTGAACCTCTTCCAAGGATGCGGTCCACTACGGCAAACCCTCATTGACGTCCTGCAAGCATACTGCATGTACCGCAGCGACGTAGGATATATCCACGGTCTGCACACCATCGCCGCCCTCCTCGTCTTGCAATTCCCCACCCCCGCTTCCGCCTTCCTTGCCATGGCCAACGCCCTCAACCGTCCTTTGCCCGTCGCGTTCCTCACTTGGGACCGCGGCGCCATGGCCCGGTCCTACACTCTAGCCTCAGACACCTTGCGCTACAAGTTCACCCGTCTACACACTCACCTGACCGACACCCTCAACCTTTCCGAGGCAGAGATTTGGGAGCCCATATTCCGCTCGCTGCTGACAAACGGCCTTGACCTCGAGCGCATCTCCCGCGTCTGGGACTGCTGGGTCTTCGAGGGTGATCGCATTATGATCCGCTCCGCCGTCGCCATTCTGGGCTGTCTCCAATCGCAACTGTTCTCCTTCCACCAGAGTGATGACCAGTCCCGTCTAGCTGTGCGCGACGTGTTGGGCTGGGGCCCCCGCAGTCATGGAGCCAACACCCAGAAACCCAAAGAGCGACATAGCGCCCCTGCCGCAGCTGGCTTTGGCGGTGGGCAGATCGAGAACCCCGGCATTGCCGATTATTGGGTTCTTGGTGCTTCGGGCGACGAGGATGACTTCATGAATGCCGTCCGCGAGGCTGGAAAGGTGCGCCAGCCAATTCAATAGGCTTGGATATAATACGCGCCTTCGGAATATGTGTGCTCTGGTCTGTTAGGTTCTCACCTTTACTTCAGCCTTTCGTTCTTCTTCGTTTTCCTTTTTCCTCCTTACCGTACCCTCATCATTGCAGATAGCGCATAGCATGGCATCACAGCTTGGCCAACGTGTCTGCTTGCCTTCCTATCTACTATCTACCCGTATGCAAATGTCACTCGTTGCACAGCCGTTTTGTCTATTCTATGTATCTTGGGCTGACTGCATGAGAACCACTCGTTTCTTTCTTCTCTTTATATTTTTTGTTTTTTTTTCCACCCAGGAACCCCAATATTCTTAGCTCATTGATTGGTCTTTTTCACTTCTTCCTGGTTTCCCCACTACTTCTCAATCTTGTATTTTTAGCCACCCCGACTTTCATGCCTTGATGCATCGCTGCTTTTCATCGTTGATACGTAGTTGTTAGTGGTATTACAAGCAATTCAGGTCTTTTGCAGTCATTCCATTATTTTCACTGAGAAATATACTGCATTTGCATCGCTAGGGAGCATGGTTGGTATTGGAGGAGGAACTGACTGATAAATGTTTCTTAAGGAATCCCCCATCATGCAGACCCAGCAGCAAGAACATATCCCCCATCAATAACAACAGTCTGCCCATTAAAGTACTGATTACAAACCGCAAAAAGCACAGCACCAGCCATATCCTCATCTCTCCCAGGCCTAGCAACAGGAACCTTCACCCGATACTTCTCATCCGGAATGAAACTCTTCTGCTTCTCATCACTCTCCCCAGTAGTCATCTCACTAGGAAAAGGCCCCGGCGCAATATTATTAACCCTAACCCGCAGCTTCGACGAACTAACCTGCTGCGCAAGCAACTTAGTCAAATGAATCGCCGCCGCCTTGGAAGCATTATACGCAAAATGGTGCTGCGCCATCTTCACAATCCCAGACATGGAAGTCGTGTTGAGCACAGTACTAGACCAGCCATCTTCAACCTCCGATCCGCGCTGCAGCAGCGGCAGGAACGCCGTTGTCATGAAGAAGATATGCGAGACATTCTCGCGGAACACCTCGTCCCACTCGTCGAACGTCGCAGCCGGGTCATCGAACAGAGTTTCCCGGAGCTCAGATGCGTCTTTGCGCTCAGTGTCTTGCGTCTGGCTGGATATCCCGGCGTTGTTCATTAGGATTGAGAGGTAGCCTTCGCGTGTGGAGATCTCCGAGACTAGTCTTCTGATCTCGTCTTTTTCGGTCACGTCTGCTGCGAGCGGGATTATTTTGCCGCTTATGTTGTTGCCGTAGAGAGAGGCTACGCGCTCGAGTTTTTTTGCGGTGCGTCCGGTTATGTATACTTTGGCGCCGTTCACGGCTAAGGCTTGTGCTGCCATTAGGCCTATTCCTGAGCCGCCGCCTGTGATTAGGGCCACTGATTTTGTTAGGATAGGGTTGTTACATTGGGGTTATATATTGCTCACCTTTGTCCTTCACGTTGAACAGCTTTTCTAGCTTGAAGCTTTGGTTGCTTTCAATGGCTGCCGTTTTGGTCTTGTCTGAAGCGGGAGCTTTTCTGGTAGGATTTATTCCGAATTGACGAGAAGGTAGGAGAGGACATAGCTTGGGTCGGATTGATGGATTTGGCCTTAGAAGTGTTTGGTTTTTGTTGAGGACTGGTGTGTATAATCGCGGCATGGCTGTATATATAGACGAGGTAAAGTGGGGACAAGTCATTACGACAAAGCTCGAACCTGTTCTAGTCATACTTTGTCTGTTGCGGCCATGAATCAATTGCAGGTGGGCCGTTGCTTCAATCAACTATCTTTATAGCATCCAATTCCTATGTATCAGAATGACGTCACTTCAATTGTACCATACAACAGAGCAGAAAGACTCAAACAGACAGCAAACACAGAAAAAGCAGGTAAGAAAGAAAACAAAACCAACTGTGACGTAGGAGGTATCTTATTGATTATTGTAGAAGTGACTTTGGTTACATTTTTGAGAATCCTCATGCTGGAAATATATTTACTACCTGAGATAACAGGCAATATTTAGCATGGCCTGCATCAGAATCCTATCATCGTCATACGTTCACAGCTTGGCCTTTACAGCCAACGCCTCGCTGACCGGCGCCACCTCGACCATCATCTTACCGGTGTTGGCACCAGCATAGAGGTCAATGAGACCTCGAGGCGCAGCCTCCAAGCCACCAGGCACAATATACTCTTTGCGCTTGAGCTTACCCTCGGACAACCAAGTCCCGAGATCCTTGAGTGCAGCTGGGAATTGCTTCGCATGATCGAAGACAATGAAACCCTTCAGGGTGATCCGTTGTGACTGTCATCAATTAGCCGAAATCCCCATAAAAAACACACTCAAACCCAAGAGAACTCACAATCACACTCATAAAACTGGCCGGACCCTGCGGCTTAGCAGCATTATACTGACTGATAGCGCCACAGATAGCAAAGCGCGAGCCAGTAGCCGCCCTCGCCAAGCAAGCATCGAGGATATCACCGCCGGTATTATCAAAGAAGACATCAATATACTCAGGCGTAGCGATCTTAAGCTGCTTCCTCCAATCCGCATCCTTATAATTGACCGCAGCATCGAAACCAAGCTCCTTCACCAGGAAATCACACTTCTCCTTAGTCCCCGCCAACCCCACAACACGCTTGGCGCCCTTGATGCGCGCAATCTGGCCAGCCACGCTGCCCGTCGCGCCCGCAGCACCAGATACAACAACCGTGTCCCCCTTCTTCACCTGCGCGATCTCAATCATGCCAAAGTATGCCGTCAGCCCGGTCATGCCAAGCACGGACATCGCGTCTGTGGGCCGTCCGCCTGCCGGAACGTGTATCTTTTCCGCTTCTTTCGCGCCGACCACGGCATACTCCTGCCAGCCGGAGCCGGCGACGACCCAGTCGCCCTTGCTGTACTTGGACGTCAGACCGCTGCCGACGATGAGGACCTGGGCGATGCTCTGGCCGCGCATCACGGCGCCTTGCTCGACGGGGGCAATGTAGGAGCGCTTGGCGGTGAGCCATTGGCGCATGGCCGGGTCGAGAGAGAGGTAGTGCACGCGTACGAGCAGCTTGTCTGTGGGTACATCTTTGGGGATGGGGATGGTGTTTAGACGGAAAGTGCCATTGCTGAGGGAGGGGTCAATGGCCGGCGCGGGAGGCTTGCTATAGATGATTTGTTTGTTGGACATTTTGAAGGATGTTTGAGGGGATTATGAGTGAAGAGAGAACGTTCGGTGTCAAAAAGGAAGAGGAGAAGGTAGAAATATCTCCAACATATGTAGCATCGGAGACACTCCAGATTAGGAAAACTGCTCCTTGGGCCTCGGCTTGTCCCCGGGCCAAAGTCGAAGTGTTGAATAATCAGCTTCTTGGAAATGCATTATTTTTTTACTAGGACACAATAGGATGTCTATGTCATCCATCCCAGAAGGGCCCTCAATGACCGCAACAAGATATTTATATATCTCGAACGGGTGATCTAGGGTCTGCTCTCATCATGACGTCATTGACCAAGAAGTATAAAAGCAGGAACTGCAAGACCGCGAGAACTGCCACATTCTTTTAATAACACCGAGACAAGAAAAATAAATACAATTTACATATTCAATCATGTCGCAACCACCCTACCAAGGCTATGAACACGCCGACCCAATCCATACTGCCCGCGGCGAAGTGGGTGGCGGCTCCTCAACTGGCGCCCAAGGCATCCCAACAGGCCTCCACGACACACGATCCGATTACGATGAATCCAAGGGCTACAACTCTGCCACAGGAGCCAGTTACTCGCGAGCATCGGCAGGAGGACCGACCCAGACCCACCAGCGACCGCTCTCACCGTCGCCTCGCAGCGATGACCGGATTGTAGGGGATGCGCCGCTCCCGTACACGGCCAGTACAGCGCAGCGCGCGGAAATGGGTGATCGTTCGGCTCATGGGACTCATGGGTCTCATGGACGGTCTGGTGAGAAGTTCGGGGAAAGAGTGAAGGAAGCTTTCGCGTCGGTTCATGTAAGTTGGAATCTTTCTGCTCTTGGGAAATGAGAAACTGATTTTGTTATAGGGCGCTGGAGAATCATTGCGTGGAAACTTGACTACCGCTGTTGATCGGGCTTTTGGGTCTGAGGATGGTGCTGAGCGGAATCAAGAGATTGCGAATAGAGGCGAGGAGGAGTTTCGGACTGGTCAGTTTGTGGGGCACAGGGACCATAGAACATAATGTGTGATATTGGAAATGTAATTAGGAATCTGGGATATTAAATAAGAACATAGTCATTGAAATAGTTATGTTGTATGCTATACCGTCGAAGGTTAGGGCCCGGATCCAACGCCGATCATACATCATAGTGGTAGAAAGAGATCGATACAATATACTCCATAAACCTGTATCCATCAGCCAAGCATCTCCCCTTTGCTAAGACATTCTTAAAAGTTCTTAAACGTTCTTAGAATTTTTTTAACTTTTATACAACGTAAGTTCCAGAGACCATCCGACCGACCCGAGAAGGCTGTGCTGGTGGAACCCACCTGTTTCCAGTTATGAACGCACTCGACACAACATTCTTCCTTCAAGTATATTCTATACAGACATTCCTACAATCCTTTACTCCGCATTTTGATCCTGGCCCACATTTGTGCATATAGCCAATGCCAGGTTTGGAGACAGTTGCACACTCGTACGACCTCATGCTTTGAAACTGGTTGATAAGCTTTCTTTTTCGGCATATATCGTCATGGCCTCAATTTCCGCCGACCAACCGGCGTCGGAAAGCGGTGCGACGGCCGCCCCAACAAACTCGCACCAACAGGCATTGTACCCCTCGGAGACGGCATCCTCGAATCTGCTCGGGTCAGACTCTCCCTCCCAATATTCGTCCTTCTCCAGCTCCGATAGCGACGAACCACTGAGCGACGAACCCATCCCGCACTCGACCGAGGTCACCGATGAAGATGCCGCCGGCGACGTGGTGGGGGTTAGCATCGGGCGCGAGCAGAGCCGCATGAAGGCCCGAGCAACCCCCGTGGAAGAGAAGAATCGCGTGCTGGAACACCAGGGATCATATTTTTCGACTATACCGGATACTATAGGCGAGGATGGTCTGTTTGCGTCGGAACTCACGGCCGAGCCTGAAACGGTGGAGCCCAAGGTTGAAAAAGCACTAGCACCAAAACCAAAACGAGCACCAACATCGGCACCAAGACCAGCAACGGGCGGGGAAAGACGCGAACATAAACCTAGGCCGTCATACTCCTCCGCACAGTATGATGAGCCTGAACCAGGCAAGCTTGGGCATGGCCCTCGCAGCGATCTATTTGCCTCGGCTCATGAGAAAACCGGGTCGAAAGATGCAGCCGGGAGCCAGCGGTCTGGTTTTGTCGGGGCCTTGTTGAAGAATTCATTACCTCGCCGGCCACGTGCCTGGTCCAACGAGTTGAAGAAATTCCTACCTGACCTGACCTCTTTGAGGAAACGGCCTTCTCTCGCGTTCCGTGCCCACAATGGCCAAAATCGAATTCGCAGCCAGACGGTAGCCCCTGCAGCTAAAAAACCCTTGAGCCAGCCGAAAAGAACATCATCGCTGGTCCTGCATCAGAAACAGTCACCTCTTGCACCGAGCGGTTCAAGCATCGACGATGAAGGAGAAGCCGCTCAGTCGATACCTGAGCTGCGCTCGCCAGATGGAACCTCGGCCGCGAAACATTCCTTTACACGGCGGCCTAGTTCAGTCATGCCCGGTCGACCGCCAAGTTTGCGGAGGTCCTCGTCGGATCAATCGCTGTATCTGCGTGCGTCTTCCACGGCATCGTCCCTTGAGCAGCGACCATTATACGAGAATGTACATTCTCAGGTAAACAGCCGGTTCAAGGCAATCAAAGATAGTTTCCAAGACTCGAGTAACAGGCTGCTCAGCATGCCGAATCTCCATCTGCAGGATATCCGCAATGAGTGGGGTCAATTCCTGCCAGAGCTTGGAAACGGTAACAACAACGGTGCTAGTAGTACTTCCAAAGAGGAACAATCACCGCGGGCTGAAAGCCCACCGCTAACTCCGCGGCACAATTCTAACTCATCACATCCAGTCTTGGAAGAAGCAATGGAAGAGCTCACGGGCGATGTTGTGATCCTAGGAGGTTACCGGGGATCAATTTTGCGGTCTGCTAAGCCACCCCATCGTCAACTTTGGGTGCCGATGAAGGTTGGTCTGAATCTGCGCAAAGTGGACTTGGAGGTCGGCTTGAAACCGGAGGACGAGGAACACATGGAGGAGACCATCATTCCATCCGGGGTTCTGTCCCACGTGGGCCCGGTGGACGTCTGTCGACGATTGATGAAGCGGTTACGCAGGAGCGAGAATGCCCAGCGTGGTGAAATGCGCGTCCACGATTATGGATATGACTGGCGTCTAAGCCCCGAGCTGCTCTCGCGCAGGCTCATCGCCTTCCTAGAGAGCCTGCCATGCAATCAGGAGCCTTCGCCGGGGGAGCCCCGACGCGGCGCTATCGTCATCGCGCACAGCCTAGGCGGTCTCATCACCCGACACGCGGTCAACGAGCGACCAGATCTCTTCGCCGGAGTCGTATACGCAGGCGTACCACAGCACTGCGTGAACATCCTCGGACCACTCCGCAATGGCGATGACGTCCTCATCAGCTCCCGCGTGCTAACAGCCCAAGTAAACTTCACCTTCCGCACGAGCTTCGCCCTCCTCCCCGAAGACGGGCACTGTTTCATCGACAAGCAAAGCAAAAGGAATTCCGCATCGACTTCTTCAACGCTCAAACCTGGGAAGACTACCGTCTCTCCCCTTGCATGGCTCCAGCTCTCCCCGTACCCCCAACACCCACCACCCTCGGCTTCAAAGACATCCCCATAATCGGCAAGCGCTTCTCCATGGGTCCTCGCGATGACTCCGACGAATCCATCACCCAAGACCCACACCACGTCCCGCAAGACGGACACCACTCTGCTACCGCAGTAGATAAAGACGTCTCCGCGCGCAACAACAACTCACCACACAGCGCGGCCGCATACGCCGCATACGCATCTGAAAAAGCCCACGACCCAGCCGACGACTTAGTCGGACCAGGCGCACACCCACGCAGCAGCACCACCGCAACCTCCAAAATCGCCACGACGTGCACCATCCCGCACGCCGCCGCGAGGGAGTACCTGGAGCGCACGCTGGCAGAGACAAAGCGGTTCAAGGAGAACCTGGCGTTCCGGCCGACACTCCACTCGGAGAACAGGTACCCGCCTGCCGCTGTGCTGTACGGAAAGACGCTGCCGACTGTGTACGGAGCGCGAGTTGTGTCGCGTGAGACTATCAAGCAGGTTGATGCGTACGATGATCTTGCGTTTGCGGCTGGTGATGGTGTTTGTCTTGCTTCGGCTGCTATGCTGCCGCCTGGATATAGGATTATTAAAGATGGGCTGGTGAAGAGTGAGCGGGGTCATGTTGGGTTGCTTGGTGATCTTGAGGGCGTTGGGCAGTGTCTCAAGGCTATTCATCGGGGCAGGAAGGAGGGGGTTGGATTGGGGGAGAAGAACATATAAGGGTTCGGTTTGCGTTCATGTTATTTTCTGGTGTTGGTCTTTTTCTTGATGATCTTTGATGATACCATTGCCATATGTTTGATGATTTGGGTTATGTTATTTTTTTTTTCTGTTTGTGGATATGGTACATTTAGATGTGACTGTCATATTGCATTGAGTCTGGTATATTGGCATTTCTATAGCAGGGGAGGATGAGACTATTTACATAGAAATAGAAAGATAGAGAAGAAGAAAGTTGGAGCAGAGCACAATATACGGATATGGATAGATCTTGCACACACGCTATGTAACCCTATGCCATTCTATGCATGTACTTTTTGTCCTCGTCCAATACCAATTGGAATAGAGACCGTCTATCAAGACAACAGAAGAAAAGGAAACAGTATCCCGGAATTCCATCACAGTATATGAAAGCATCACAGTATATGAAAGCATCACAGTATATGAAAGCATCACAGTATATGAAAGCATCACAGTATATGAAAGTAAAAAAAAAGATCATGAAGAAGGATGCTATAAAAACCCAACAAAAAGAAAACAAAGTATCATCAAGTCTTTAATCCGTGCGCGAGTTGGCAATGTTCATGACCAAGATATCACTTGCGCCGACCTTAATCAGCTCATCCATTACCGTGGCAATGTGCTTCTTCTCCACCATAGAGCTGACAGCAACCCAACCCTCCTCCTCGAGCGCGGTGATAGTAGGCGCGCGCTTGCCGGGGGTGATCTTGGACGCGATTGCCAGCTGCTCACGCGGGATGTTGTATTGGCACAGGACGAACTTCTGGGCGGTGATGACACCACGCAGACGGGAGCTGAGTATAGTGAGCATTTCGGAGTTGGACTTGCGGGACTTGACCAGCACGGCGGTGCTGGAGACAACGGTGTCAATTGCCTTCAGGCCAGCGGCCTTCATAGTCTCACCAGACTCTGAACAGATTTGAGTGTTAGCAACGGGTTCCGGTTCCCTGTTCCGTATTCCACAGGACAGTATTTCAGTAGACTGGCATATCACAACATACCAACAAGATCAACAATACCATCCGCAACGCCGAGAGCGCAGGCAGCCTCAACACTACCGCCAACATACTTGATATTCGTGGAGAGTTTCTGGCCAACTTCGGCGCCCTCCAGGTTACGGAAGAAAGATTCAGTGAGGGCAGTGAAGCTGGTCACGACGTTGCGGCCAACGAGATCCTTGGCCTCTTTGATATCGCCCTTCTCAGGCACCTGCACTTGCAGCTTGCAGGCGCCGAAGCCCAGGTCGAGGATCTCCTCGACGTTGGAGGCCTCGCCGGTGGGCAGGGTAGCATCGTGCTCGGCGACCTGGTCGCGGCCAGTAATTCCCAAATCGACGCGGCCTTCGCCGACGAATGTCGGGATATCGGCAGCCGGCAGGAAGATCAGCGCGATGGGCAGGTTCTTGACCAGCGCGATATCGAGGCGGGTTTCGCGGCGGAACTGGACGTCACAGCCGGCGAGGAGGTCGAGGGTTGCTTGTTGCAGACGTCCTTCTGTATAGTGGGGTTTGCGCCGTCAGTCTTGGTTTCTTTGTGTTTGTTTCTTGTTCATGTGGGTATCGCTGCTCGCATCTATGAGTCACGATTTGGGAGAGCACTTGCTTTTGGGCACGGCGAAGAGGAGACGGCCTTCGAGGCTGTTTAGAATCGTTATATTAACAGGAATCCCCATGCGGTTTGTAATTGGGATTGACTCACTGGTTGACGAGATCCATGGTGATAGAGCGGTGCGGCGCGGGGCTTTTTACAGGTTTTTGGTGGGGGGAATAAGCTGATCGGGGATCGATTGACGAAGTAGTCAAGTCAATTGCAATTCAGAGACCGTGAATATAACCCAAAGACAAGATAGAACGATTGATATAGTCCGGAGGAGTCGGGGAGAGAGACCGGAGCTTCTTGCGGCAGAAATTGGAGGGGCAGATTACACCGGTGGGTTAGTTACGGGACCGGGGGAGTATGTACCGTGTTCGCTGCGCAGTATGAGCCCACGTGATGGGATTCTGTGGTGTATGGCTATTTGAAGTGTCTACAGGATATACATGGTAGAGTCTAGAACGAGTTTCTAATCGATTGAATAGGATAATTGGCTGTGGAAGCCGAAGTTGTCTAAAAGTGGTGTTGAACGATATCGGAGTCCAGTGAAAATATGTTCTGCCTTAATATGCCTGACCCATCAGGTGTCAATTTTATCCGCTGACTCATCTACTGCCTGACGGCTCAGGTGTCCAGCCCTGAGCCCTCGCGTAATTTGCACGAACCCACACAGGCCAAATTCCACTTTACACTCTCTTACCTACAGTCCAACCAATTCCAACCCTCGAGCTCAACGCCCTCTCCTTCCCTCCAAGATGGATTCCAGCAAGCAGCCCGTTAAGCTCGTCAAGGTGACCCGTGTCCTCGGCCGCACCGGTATGTGCTTTCCCAGCATTTTTGAAGCTCCAAACCCATAATTCGATATTCGATATTCGCGGGGTGCAACCATTGCGCCCCGGATCGCCCGAAACAAACCGATGAAAACCAGACACTTGGAGGAATAGCAATCGCTAATTTTGGTCTATTTAGGATCCCGTGGTGGTGTCACCCAGGTCCGCGTCGAGTTCATGGACGACACCTCGCGTTCCATCATCCGTAACGTCAAGGGCCCAGGTATGCGATACTGATTTCTTTGAATCTGTCTTTTGGGATCACAAGAGGAGGGAGAAAGAAACATGGGGTCTATCTATTCATTCTATAGAAAGAGCCCCATGTTGAAATATGGAATTTTGAAGATCGACCCAAAAGACAAAAACTTTGCCGAACCGCATCGCTAACATATTCCTCCGCACCAGTCCGCGTTGACGACATCCTCTGCTTGCTTGAGTCCGAGCGCGAGGCCCGCCGTCTCCGTTAAAATTCACCAAAACGAAATTTCGCTTGCTTCGTCTATTTTGTCTCTCTTCTTCTCTCGCATATCCCTTACGACCGGTTTTTCATGATTACTCTTCGGCCAAAATCGAGTCCCCCGCTTTTCTTTCTTGCCGTACCTTCAACCTCCTGCCCTCAGCCCTAAACCGCCGCGCTGCCCAATCATCCCCACCTGCCGACTCTCAAGGGGCCGTTTCTACGATTTCCGACGTTTCGACTGGAGGTGACAGTTTGGGTGGATTGACTTTTGGTTTTTTTTTATAACGAAAGTCCCGGAAGGTCGATTATGGAGAAACGATCGTGAGAGAGAGGAGCAGAGAGCGCAAAAAAGATAATAGAAAGCCTTTTTTTTATTGATACGAGAAAACGAAATCAGGTTCTTGCGCGAGGGCTGGTTTGTGGACTTGTGGCACGGTCTGGTCTGGTTTCGATCTTGGTGTTTTACTACATACACACGTCCATTTAGGCGTGATTGCATGGGCTCAATGCGACAAACGAGGTTGTTATGTTGTTTCCTCTCTTTTCTTCCTCGTACCAGCTTCCCCCATTACTGGTACTTAGAAAAGAAAACGCCGACTCAAACCAGGCCCCGATCGACAAAAAGAACAATGGAATCCAAAAAAAAGTTTGAAAACTTCCGGTTCAGCCTTGTCGAGGTCGAGGTCTGAAAGCGTTCGTAGAACATCTGGCCAGTGTAGTCTATGTGAGTCTAGTCTACGAAGTACATTAGTGTAGACGGTAACTGCCATGTCCATCTTATAAACCCTCGTGGAAGGTCTGGATATTGATACTTTTTGTCGCCTTTTCGTCTTTCTATATATAAAACTGAGAAGTGGAAAGGACAAAAAAAACAAGGTCGCATAAGCCAACTACATATTCTTGTGGTCTTTGGCTTTTTCTAGAAAGCTTCAACAAATGCCATACTTATTCTACTTTATTCACTAATGTATATTACTCCCTCACAGATAATAACAGGGTTCGTTCTCCGACATGTCCTAGTGAACTACAGCTGCTCCGCACTGGCCATGAGCCTACTAAGAAGGCCGTCATCAGCAGACTCTCCATCGAGACCACTCTCATCAAGGACCCGACCAACCGCCCCCAAAAGCCCAGCCAACCGCTTCCGCCGGATAGATTCCTCCAGCTCAGCACTCTTCTGACGGGCGATGTCAATAACATCGGAGGGCAAGTTCGCTAGACGCGCAACGTTCAACCCGTAACTGCGATGCGCAACTCCCTCAGTAACCTCATAGAGGAACGTAATCTCCCCTTCGCCGTCCTTGTCCTTGCTACTCGTCTCCGTGAACCGCATATGGACATTACGGAGAGCATGATCCGGGAAGGAATGCACCATGCGCGAGAGATGCTGGTAATGCGTGATGAAAAGGGTGAGGGATTGGATCGAGCGCACCATATAGTCAAGCACCGCCTGTGCGATTGCGACACCGTCGTGCGTCGATGTGCCGCGGCCCAGCTCGTCGAGGATAACCAAGGATCGAGGCGTTGCTTGCTTGAGGATATCTGCTGTTTCGGAGAGTTCGACCATGAAGGTTGATTCGCCAGCCAGCATGTTGTCGAAGGCGCCCATGCGCGTGAAGACTGCATCCAGGAGACCGAGTCGGGCGGAAGCGGCTGGGACGTAGGATCCGATCTGGCCCATGATTGCGATCAGTGCTACCTGTCGCACGTAGCTGGATTTACCGCCCATGTTCGGGCCGGTGACGAGGAGGGCGCGCGTGCCGTCGTGCGATAGATTTGTGTCATTGGGTACGTATGTGTCTGTGAGGAGTTGCTCGACCATTGGGTGTCGGCCCTGCTCGATGTGGAGGCCTGCTTCTTCTGTGTATTCTGGCTTGACATAGCCCGGTTGCTGGGCTATGTCTGCAAGTGATAATAAGCAGTCGAGTGTCGCGAGGGATTGAATAGAATCCCGGAAGGACTGGTACTGTGCCGCGATATCAGCCAGCAGGGTTTTGTATGCTTGGTCGCAGGCTGCCGCTAGGGCTTCCTTGTACTGATCACGCTCGCGGATGAGCTGGATGACTTCTGGCGTGTGGAAGCGGGAAACTCTTTTTGTGCCGCTGACTTTGACCCACGATGCGGGCACGCGCTTGAGTGCCGGGGAGTTGTTTTCGATCTCGATCAAGTACTCAATGCCGGATACTGTCGAGTATTCGACTTTGCCTCTTCCAATTGTTGACGCCGCCTCTTTGCGATGTTCTAATAACCCGTGTTCAGTGCTTCCAATTTGGAGTTTAAGTTCGCCGATCTCCTCTGTCTCCTCCGCTTCGCGAAAGAAGGTATATTTGTCATTGGTTCGTGCAGCGTGCATGTTGATCTTGTCTAGATACTTGACGACTGACGCTCGGATCGTAGGCAGAGAGGCGATGGCCTCGCCCACTAGCGATGATTGGAACCCCGTCTGGGCAGGTGATTTGATATCTGCAAACTCCATTGCAATCATCTGCATAGCTTGCAATACAGTGAGAAGTTCGGGTCGCTCACACTTGGCTCAACATTAGTATAAGCGTGGTCATCATCGCAGAAGTGTTACCTACCTTTCCGTAGTAAATCCGGATCAAACTCTTCTCAAGATCACTCCTGACTTTGCGTAGCAACCCTCGTACTCTCTCCACCGGAACCGCTCGCGCAGGATCAATAAGCTCCTCGACAGCATTCGTCCGCTCCTCGAGGCGCACTTTGTCTAGCAAAGGTCTTCCAACCCATTGCCGCAACATGCGTTGTCCGAATCGCGTTTGCGTCCGATCCAAGGTCCAGAATAAACTACCCTTTGTCGAGTGATCCGTCTGGTTTTGGTAAATTTCTAGACTGACCAGCGTATTTCCGTTCAGAAGCATATGCGAACGAGCCGAGAAGGGCTGGAAATATTTTGTGAGGTCAAACACATGTTCCAGCCCATACTCGGTCATATGTTCGATCATAGCTGACAGACAGATAGTCACCTGTTCCGGGAGGCTAAGGACGTTTTGAAGCAACTTCGCAGCTTGAGTATCCTCCTCGGTACTGGTAGCCTTCATCTTTCCTGCATAAAACTCAGATACATGGCTATGTGCCTCAGCGGCGGAGGTTTTCTTCTTCTGGGCCCGTTCGAGGCGCACGGCGTCCCCAAAGACATTCATCTTGCTTCCAGATAAATGCTGCACGAGCTTTTCGCTAGCTCGGGACATCTCTCCAACAATCAAGATCTCGCAGGGAGCGATGTGTAATAGTCGTGTCTCGATCTCGCTCCGCATGAAGCCATCCTCAAAGTCATCATAGATAACGTCACCTGTAGCCGGCTGGACAGCGACAATCCCCACATGAACTCGCTCGTCGTTCCCGGGGCCCTTGGCATTGGTTTCTGTCATACAGAGCATGTACCCAGTGGCAGGAGAGGCACCTCCCGCTGCCGGCGCAGGACCCTGCAGACCTTCAGCGTCATCAATATAAGTTCCTTTCGTGTAGAGGTTCGTTAATTTGCGAACAAATGGCGCATTGCGATTATCACCCGCGGCCTTAAGCGCAGCCGTCTCGATCTGTCGCACCACGCCGACCTTGTGGCCGGCTGTAACGAGTCGCTTCACATGCACGTGTAGTCGGTGCACGGGGATACTAGCCGATGCAAACCGGCCAATGTGTGCCTCAGACGGATCTGCGGTAGGCCCTAACATTAGTATGCTTTCGGCATTCTATAATAGAGAAGATACTTACGTTCGTCGAATCTGAACTTCCCGGGGATGCACACGATGCCCAGCTCCTTGGCCGCAATGCGCGCATCCTCCCCGAAGAACCGGAACTTGTATCCCACTTCAATAACCAGCACCGTGTTCATGTTCTGACGCTTGATCTCAATGACCTGTTTCTCCATGGGCGTGAGCTTGCTCCCGGCCTTCTTCGCACCCTTGCCTTTGACCGGGAGTGGTGGAGCAGGCTCTTCCTCTTCCTCGGCCTCTGCAGCTTCCGCCTCTGCGCTGGCTGCATCGTTCACTGCTATTCTCCCAATCCCAACCTGGCAATCTGACCCACCGAGCTTCCGCACGAATTGCTGGTGCAGTTTCTCCTTCTCTTTCTTCCGCTGTTTCTGCTCTGGGCCATCCTCATCTACCGCGGCTAACGGAGCGGCAGGGGAGCTCTGGAATTTGAAGATATCGGTACGCTGGCTGCTGCTGCTTGCCTGAGAGGTGTGCTCGAAGTGCACGCTTGTCGCAACTCGGATTGGCTCCTCCGCGACTGTGCCCGTGGTTTTGGTTCGCTTTGGTGCTGGCACCACTATATCATCATCATCGTCATCATCAGCTTCCGGGGTATTGTCTTGCTTCGGCTCGGGTTTGTCGGCTGGCGATGCTTGTTTTTTCTTGGGTGCATTGGCCGGGGTTGATGCGGGTTTCTGGGTGAAGAAGCTAGAGATACTCGCTTGCTTTCGTTTCAATGATGGAGAGGGTGCAGAGGATTGCGAAGAATGAGGTGCCATCTTGACGAAGGATACCAATGCTCCCACCGCAAGTATGTGGAGTGGCAGTGGAGTTACAGGTTGATAATAGGAGAGGGACTTCAATGGAATTCAATACTGAGGTATTTCATGTCAGCTTGATCTCAAATTAGGTATGCTCCAAATAATGTCCCATGTGAGTTCTCCGCATTTTACTCGGAGCTCGACGCGTACAGAACGCGCTAGCCCTGGGCATCCGTGGAGTTAATTGGTTGCTGACTCATCACTCCCAATCAGGGCTGCCCAGCCCAGGTGAATAGCTATTTTGTATTTTACTGAGAACAACTTGAGTCAAGTTTGCGTGACAAAGAGAGCCTATGTCTATGGTATGTCTATAAGGAGTGGGTGTATATGATTTGAGGTTTGCATGAGTGATGTTGAGTATAGACATCTACAACTCTGATAGGGAGAGAAAGAGAGAGAGTGATAAATTGGTGGACTATCAAGTTCATGTGTACAAAGAAACAAAGAGAAACAAAGACCACAAACTGCATGAGCAAACAACAAAAACAAACTATCAATCAGGCAAAACAGGTAAGCGACCTAGGGCAAGAAACACAAGGCAAGAGACAACACAAGGCAAGAGACAACACAAGGCAAGAGACACAAGGCAAGACAAAGCACAGTCACAAAGGGACCATGAAGGAAGGAACCTTCAAGAAAAAACAAACCCTCAGAGAATTCTTCACTGGGCAACAGAGGGCTATCTCTGTGAAAAGGTTCCAAAAATTGGCTTCCAGAGGGGGCCAGAGGCCGTCTCCGAGAGCACGTTGTTCAGCTCCACATACGTCAATGGAGAACCTGGGAAAGTACGGTCGGTGTCCACAGAGGTTGCAGGGGGCCGGGCCACAACATGCTTCGTGCCCTTAGATGAGCGGAGCTCGAACCTAGTTTTCGGCCTAACCCAGGCCGCAGCAAAGATCGACGGGAGACAGAACGTGTGAAGAAGAAAGAAAGAAGAAGAGAGAGAAAAGGGGGGGAGGGGGTATTTATACCCTCCCAGTGGCTTAAGGCAACGGGGTACTTGGGTTGGTGACGATTTTTGACCAAAAGGGAAGGCACCTGACCAGGTACCTGACTAGGCAGCTCCAGGCAGCGGTCTCTGGACCCTTTCATCACTTCAGACTGTATAGCATCAATGGTAGCTCCTTTCTCTATCTTTCCATTGCTCTTTCAGGCGACCTGTACACTGATATCCACTCCAGTATCCATATAATCATAGAGAAGCCCACTCCTCCAGGCATAAAACCCATCATCATCACCCCCAGTCTCTCAAGATCTCTCATCCCTCTCCCTATCTATGGTCCTCCAAGCTGACACATTATCATCAAGCCTGATCAACTTACCCAGGTGATCCACCTACTCCTCGTAGCCTCTGAGAAACAGGAAAGTAACTCAACGCAGGATTCCAGATGCAACTACTAGCTGTCACCGGTGTATTTTGCCAAGTGAGCAATTTTCATTCATGTTCATGTGCATGAATCATTCGTGATTGACTATAGTGTGAACATTTAACATGGCTACATCACCTAGATCCAGAAGAAAAAGAATACATAGTCTTTACAGAGGACTATTAATGGGGTACAGCTTTCACGTACAACAGCTATTGTTAGTCTGATCGAGTCAAGTTGCGACCACTCTCTCGTTGCGTCTTCTGACCAGGGAGTGTGGTGACAGACAGTGCAAGTGACGAGATATCAAGGCCTGACAAAAGGCGATTGGTCGCTGTAGACGTATTTGGTTCCGGCCATCACAAAAAGCAATGACGAGAAGCTGAAGGCCAGCTCGACTTTCTCCCAGTGAGCCATCATTCAGAGGCGAAGGATTAGCCGGAGCAGCTCGTGCCAGATGTGGATGAAGTAGATTTCATCTGCTAGACCTGGCCATAATGTGTCACATTATCATACCTTCCCAACACTCGTTCCTTTCCCGTGCCTCATCAATATAAAGTACAAGAAGAGGAACATATTGAAATGCACCTAGATGATAGAGGGTACTATATGCAGGAAACACGAGACGCAGATACACTCGAAGAACGGATAATTCCAAATATGGAGTCGTGGAAAGTGATAGAACACTGGTAGTGGATCGGTTGTTCTCAGCTGCTGCTTGTTGCAGGATTCGAATGATCTGTAGACTAGTGCTCTCATCGAACAGATATTGTGGGAGCAGGGAAGAAGTAATTGTTTGCTTTCCAAGCCTTCGCCCAATTCTAAGGTTACACTCTTCGACGACATCTAGGTTTTCAAAGACTCGACTATATTGAGCTCGAGTATAGTATGCATGATCATTATGAATAACGAGAAGATGGAGTTGGCGAGTGTTCATCATAGATGTGTCAGTAAGCTTGGAAAGGCCTGTCTGTACAGGGAGGTACAGAAGAAGTCGTTCGGACAGCTCTAGGACTTTACGAGAGGACACCTAAGAAGAATTGTCGAGATCTATACATGCTACATGGTAGAAAAACGTTTTTAATAGACATTTCATATTGATACTGGCTAATCATAACATTGTACAGCATATCAAACAGCCCATCAAGGATGGGAAATACAAATGGACACCCATGGATAATCACAATTGTTAGAAAATAGCAATCAGGCTGGGTGTCAATAAGTTCGGGTCGTCGGGCGAGCGCAAATCATGGTAAAGCTACCATTGTCACTGTCTGGGGTTTCGGTCACATCTTCGGTCATTTCGGAGCATTTCATATCATCACTGTATCGCAGGGTTGACCAGCAGATTGAATCTGGAATAGATCAACAGGGTCATGAGATCATGACATTTAGTTCGCATCGGTAGTCAAATAGTATCCAGAAAAGAGGTGCTCGTCTTCTGGGATGGTTTCTTCGGATGGAACTGTCTGGTCAATTGAAAGCCAGCCATTCTGAGCAGTATGCTCCTCTTCACACTGGCTGTCATAGAAAGGGTGCTTCGAGGGGGCTTGCAGGGGGTTGGAGCGATACCCAGCCTTGTCAAAGCCGTCGTATTCACCAAGATCAGGAAGGCATGGTGGGTCGAATCCAAAGTCATCAAGGAAATTACGTTTAGCAAATGGGGAGTGCCAACTGTGGGGGCCAATTCGGCCTTGGGGGTTCAGAATAGGCTCAATGTTCTCTTTGTCAACGGAGGTGTGTCCAATTCTCAAGGCATGACTACCGGTGTTCGTCTTTCCGTTCAAAACAAGGCGAGTGGGGGTCAAGGTGTCAAACTGCGTTCTGAATCCCGGGTCCGGGTAGGATGATTTGCTATCCTCTTCTTCCTTTTCCTGATCAACAAAAATGCCGAAGCCACCTTTGGGCCGCTTGCCAAAGGTGTTGACAGTAAGACCAAACTCTTCATCATCGCCAACATAAGAGTGAGTACGGTCCGCTGCACGGCGCGAGCGACGGAGAAAGCTTTGTTCTTCTTTGGCCTCCCCTTCCATGTTCTTGCGGCCTTTGTAGGCTTTCTGTCGCTTTCTGTCCACAGCACGGGGCACGTTGGGGTCGGCTTTGGTTAGACGGGTACTCCTGGGACGAGCGATGCCTCGTCTGGGAACTGGAGTCTCTCCCTTCAGTGGGCTGTAGTCCTCCACGTTACCCGTGATAATACGCTCCTTCAACAGACCTCCGTGTGGGGAAAAGACCTGTTCGGTTGGCTCCACGAGCGAAGAAGTACGTTCCATCATCTTCAAGACAGCACCATCCTTCTTCTGGTTGCGTCGACGACGCATCTGCAGCGTGGCGGAATCAAAAAGATCCATACCTGGCCACAGAACTCCTTTGAGTCTTGCGATTTCTTCAGCCCGAGTCTTGTCCATCTCAGGGTTGCCCGATGCCTGTGTCTGATCACCAGAATCGATAAAAGGATCAGGGGTATCCCTGCTAGCAACCCATGTTCTCTCCAAGGGGTCCGGTTTGTATCGGCGCTGTATCGGTGTCACGGGCAAAACCAATGATCGGTTTTCGTCAGTAGGTCCAGAAGCATCGACCGGCTGCAACCCGTCTGGCTTTGTGCCATTCGAGGATCGCATCGAGCGGAGGATGGGACCCGTTCGAGATTTCACATTGCTGTTTGCCATAGGCAAAGGGGTTGGCGTAGTGGGCGGGATGGTTGTCTCCGCATGTTGCTCTTTGTCATTGTGAGAATCAGCCAAGCGAGGGTCGAGGCAATCAGAAACTGGGGTAGTTGTGATTGTAGTAGTACTGGAGCCCTCAGGCTCGACATTGGGTGCTCGGTTTCTTGTATGTTTAGCGGCGGAAGCCAATGCGTCGTCCGACTTTCTTTTTTCCGAACTTCTTTGCTGGCCATGCGAGCAGACAGCTGCTTCGCGTAGCCATTGGCGTCAAACCAATCGTCGTATTGCTTGAGAAGCTCGATCGCGTTAGGATCGTCGGTGCGAAGCTTGAGCTTGAAGTGGCTAGCCAGATGAGCCTTGGAGGCAGCATGGGTCAACAAGTGAGAGACATCGCTGAAATGGGGCTGCCCAGGACAGATGCTGCACATGAGGATAGTCTCAGCCATGATCCAAGGCCCCGAAGGAGGCAACAACTAAACAGATAGAACGAGATGCAAATGGAAAGGGCAAAAACAACCAAACTGTCGAAGCCAAAGCAGGTGTGAATGAAGCTGGCGAAGGAGCGATGGAAGAGGACGAGAGACCGTTATAAGCACGTGCACAAGGCGGACGGTCGTTCCTGTCTTCCTTATCAATAAGCTATTGATATTCGAGGAAGGTGCGTATTGTTGGGTCGCGGGTAAGTCACGGGACGTCATTGATACCTCAAAAACAACTTTCATTCATCTTGTCATCATTATCTTTAGGTACACAATGGGTATGTGCCACGATGTCTTAACAGCTCTTGGGCCATTGTAGGGGGGTATGAAGCGGAATAAGTCAACGTGGTCATTATTCTCCCCCCGCATTGTATCCCAAAGTCCATAGGGCAAAGAACGCTGGGTTATTAGATTGCGGGAGGTTTCAATATGGATCGATCATTGATCCATCTATCAATCAACCAATGAACTACCCGGCAAGGCATTTGGTGGTGATTGACTTAGGCATGCAACTGTTGATTCAAGTTAGCAAATTATACGTTAGAATACCAGATGCTCTATAGCTCACTAAACAGCATCTATTTCTTCGAGGCCATTGAATTTCAGTAAGCTCAGCCCCGCAAGGCTGAAGTGTGTGTGATACACATCCACCATATTTCCCGGTCGATCAGCAAAGCCACCAGCATCGGGGTCCTACGTAATGGTTAGCAAGAGACTACACGGCACAATAGGCAATTAACCAACCTGGCATTGTAGGACAAATGCGGCGAGCTTCTCGCCATCGATCCAGTGCAGACGGTCGATCATGGCAAGGCTTGATCCTACCCACCAGCTATAGCAGGCATCTGCAAGCTTCTCTGGTCGACCATTGAAACCACCGCTTTCGATCTGGCGCTCGCTGAGCCAAGCTCCGAGTCGATCTTTATTCACCAAGTCTAAGCGACCAGCGATGGCCAACGCACCAATGCAAGTAAACACCTGGCCAGCGTGGGACTCGGCACCGGGACGAATGCCATAAGCTCCATCCAAGTTCTCACAACTTTGAATGTGAGCAACGGCTTTGGGGACATCGACTAGGTCCATCAGACGCAACAGTGACAAGGCATTGAGGGCACCATATAAGAATCGGGTATCTGTTTCGCCCCACTGGTCTCCCATGAAGGAGCCATCTGCATTTTGTAGGTTTGCAATGACTGTAAGTAATAGTTTAGTAAACCATCCTTGATATCAGTAAGTATAAGGGAATTCTGTACAAGACCCAACTTTCTCCTTGCCGCCTCGACCCCGCTTCTCAAGTTCATCCACAGCATCAATGGTTACGAGAATCTGAACGGCAGAGACAGTATATAACATATGGGCATCATGACCCGGGGCAGCACCGAAGCCTCCATTCTCATTTTGGCATGAAAGGACAAAGTCGATGGTCTCATCTCGAGGTAAGGTATCCGGATGACCTAGGATATGCAGGGCTGTAAGACCCCAATATACACCATTTAGTCGTAGGTGCTCGGTCAGCCAATATTCCAGCTCATCTTTCCGCTGTGTCGGTCAATCATCACCATTCACCCAACATTTTCTTTCAAGGAGCACGCACAGTGTCCAGGTTCTTGATGTAAGTAACATGCTTTGAGGTGTGTAGTTCAGAGTCTGCGGGGCTGACCCCGGCTCTACCAGGGCCCGATACTAGGGCCATGTCTTGGAATGATGGAGGTGGCTGATTAGAGGACGGACACTGATTGGATAGTGGATGTGCAGGTTAGTAGATCGAAGGTAGATCGAAGGATCTGAGAGCTTGTGAAATTATTAATGTTTTCAGTAGAAGGCGGTGAAGTTGTCAGCTAGATCCTTTATGCACGACACTGTGCACAAAACGTGGCTTGACTTTTTGATGGAAGAAGAAGAAAGCGGTTAGTGGGATTCAAAGATTATTTTTGGAATACTACTTGGTCCGTGACCACTCACGTGAGAGTCACGTGTGATAAGTCTCGGTTAATAATAACTATCTTATCGATTGTATAACTACTCCTGACAAGCCCTAAAAGGTTGTTATGTTGTACATTCTGCTACTATGTATTCAACCCTGATTGGTGGAAGCCCAATCATATCCACTCAGCATGCCCTGTGCACCACGCTCAAAGCACTGTCATCCCCGAGGCGCTAGTTTGACATCTCCAGCCATGTTTCAGATTGGATGGAACCTCAAATGAGAGGAATGCGAAAGCGAGGGCGGTGTGTAAGAGAACCTTGTGAGCCAGGAATAGGTAATAGGAATTGTATCCATGGGTGTCGAAGTATAACTAATGGAAATTGTGCGGGTATAGTTATTGCATGCAGATTAATATAAAACACAATCTATTTATTCTCTCTAGCGCCCCGGAGTATTATCAGCGTTGTAGCTCCGAGTCTTCCCATGTTATACAAAGTTTGGTGAACAATGCGGACCTCGGAAACCTCTCTGTTTCTAAAAATGTCTCTAAAACAGGAATTGAGCCATGGCCTGAGTCTTCATCGGTAAGCGGGAATATGGGTTCCAAGGTTCGACCCGAGACCCAGGCTACTATATTAATTTATAAAAGTGGACGCGGCACTTCGGACACGGACACGTTTGTGCATTAATTTAGCTCTTACCCCTGATATACAACGGGTTTGTGAAATAGATATAGAGTATTAATTGCTGATTACCTTGAATCCTATAGATAGAATATTTATACATGTATGTACATATATGTACATATCTATGCATCTATAGTAACCATAAATAACCCCAATCCCAACCGTGGATATTCCGGCAAGGGAAATCAGGTACTGTTTTATTGCACTGTAACTGGCTCGCCGATTTACCAATGACAGGCCACATCCACTGTAACGTAAGGCAACACATTCCGTGGCTCTGACCTACAAAAGTGGAGAGCTCTGATCATTCGTGTACTCCGGATGGAGTACAGCCCACTATCGTATCGAGTACATTCGAACTAAGCAAATAGAATCTCATGCCGTAAAGCTCCAGTGTCTTGGGTTTGGAGGTGACGCGAATGTCCATTGAGTAATTATTATTCACGGAAGTTAAGATATTTATGATGCTTATCCACCGTCACACTCGGATCATCGCAAGGTGTTGGGTCTAAGTGACGTTTCGCCCTTCAGGGGGGATCAGATAGAAATTAATATTCCCCTCTTTTTTCATAGAATTGTTTGTTGTATGTTGTAGATGTTGCAGTAAGAAGATTATATATGGAAATGTTTCAAGTCAATATAATTGTTATAATTCTAATTCTAATTCTACCATAACTAATTCTTATATTAATACCTAATAACTATCTCTGATATGATCGAATAATTATGACTTCTATAATACTAGCGCGGCTGGTCTGATAGTCTCTGCTCGGACTAGTGTACCGCTAAGTCTATTAGGAGAAACTTGGACTTTGGCGACTTTTTTTTGTTTACAATTCTGCAATTCCTCACCTTTCACATCTCCGACTTCGACAACTCCTACATAATACATACATCATACCTTGGGATCACTAATTGTTTCTTTTGACTTTGATCCACACGACTCCTATCTCGCCCCTTCCCTGCCGATCCCTTGAACTTCGAAGCGCCCAAAAAGAGGGGGAAAACGTGAACTCGCACTGAACAAGCCCCCATCTCTCAAAACCTGGAGATATCGGTGGGAACAATCGAATCCATAATATGAGGCTTTTGGTGAGTGATCAGCGGAAAATCAGGACCCGTCCATTGTTTCTACCATCTCGTTCCTAGCCTTGGCTGTCAACAAAGGGTCGAGGTGTGGCTTCTTTTAACTCGGGCTTTGCCTGCATATGTCACCTGCGGTCTCACCTCTTGTCTTCTTTTTTGACTCTTCTGTTTCCTCTCACTTGTCTCTGATTTTGCGCTGACCCTAAAACTGGCGCTCTAGATCCCGCATCCTCGATACTTCGTTTAATCCCATACTACTTTCGTCATTACACTGGACGTTCAGGTGGACAACATTGCCTATCTCCTAGTACTCCTCAGCTTGGAAACCCCTTCGCGCCCCCCACTACACGGCCAGACCTCGATCATTGATCCCCGTACAAATCTCTCAGCCGCATGCGTGACGTCGGCTTTAGAGCTGGCCAAGTACACATCTAGCAGCCCAAGGATCAATTCATCTGAAGCTCCACAAATTCTTGACCCCCAAGCCTTCACCATCCTGGATCGGGTCTAATTGCCGCCCAACATGTCGAAGCGAATGTCCACAGTGCCCAACCTCGATCTGAGCTCGTGCAAGACCGACTCGAAGAAGGATAAAGCCTCATCGCCTGTGACGCCATGTGACCGTAGTTCAGACGGACCAAGCCCCTTAACACCGCGTTCGCCCAAGTCTACATCGAGCTCCCCACTCTTCAAAGGCGCAACAATTCGCCCTGTCGCGCAGGACTCCGACAACAAGGCAACCAGCCCTATTCTCCCACATACCCCTGGCATAGAGCCTCCGACACCCGGCTTCACAGCCATTCCTCAACATTTCCCTTCTCCCAAAGACTCAAGGCATACGCGCGATGCCTCGAAATCATTTTTCGGCAACCTCAAAGCACCGAAACCATCCCACAAGTCACAACATTCAGATAGCTCGGAGAACTCCACCGAACATCCCAAGAGTAGAGGCAGCTCCAGAGAACGGAAGATTCCAATGGCTTCCAAACAGTACGAGTCAACGCCTGACCTTCTAGGGGCACTTGCCCGTACGAATGGAACCGAAAGGACTAGTGAGTTTCCCTCGCGACCTATGTGTGGATCATATCTAACAAAATATTACACAGACGGACTCTCAGGCCAAAATGATTCGCAGCAAACAGGCGCCAAGAAAGTCGGTACAGATTTAGAGTCCGCCGCGCCGAAGAAAAACAAACAACGATTTGCAAACCTTTTGACCCGATCTCGCTCCATTCGAGTTGACGACTCCTCCGGACCCAGGCCACCCCGCCGACGCCCCTCTACTGGTCTTGCGAAACTCGAAGAGTTTAGTCAAGGCGCAACGACGACCGCGAATCCACCCCGTTGTGCGACTGCGCGACCTGAACGCGGAGGCTTGCAGCCTCCCGAGCGCCAAGCCGACACCACGTCTTTGCGAAAAGAGCGTAGCCACGGTAATATGGTCGCGTCGGGTTCGTTGAGTCAAGTTTCCGGCGCCTCGGCTGCCATTTTCAACAATCTGAAGTCTTCATCAAGCGGCACTGCAGATCGTATTGGCAAGGCCGGGAAAGGATTCTTTAGCAAGATCACCCGTAGCGGCAGCACGAATGAGAGAGATATGATCACCGATGACTCGTACACGTGCTCAGTGATCAACCTACCGCTCATTGAGCAGGCGAGAAAGACTCGCATTGCGAAGAAGCTCGAAGACTGCCGAGACAAGACCGAGTTCTGGATGCCTGCCTTGCCATACCGCTCAATTGATTATCTAAACTTCAAGGGTTGCGAAGAAGAGGGCCTGTACCGTGTTCCCGGTAGTGGCAGGGAGGTCAAGCACTGGCAAAGAAGATTTGACACAGAACTCGACATCGATCTCTTCGAAGCCCCTAATCTATATGACATTAATACGGTTGGATCTCTCTTCAAAGCTTGGCTTCGTGAGCTTCCAGATGAGCTTTTCCCCAAGTCAACGCAAACGATGATTGCTATGAAGTGCGAAGGTGCCAAGACTGCACCACAGCTACTCAAAGACGAGCTCTCCAAGTTACCGCCATACCATTACTACCTCCTCTTCGCCATCACCTGCCACCTCAACCTCCTCCACTCGTACGTGGACCAGAACAAAATGGACTACCGCAACTTGTGCATCTGCTTCCAGCCCTGCATGAAGATCGACGCATTCTGCTTCCAATTCTTAGTATGTGACTGGAAGAACTGCTGGCAGGGTTGCTGGACCGAGAAGGAATACCTTGAACTTGAGAAAAAGATGGACGAGCGCGACCTGCGAGTCTCAGAAGAGCAGGAGGCCGCCAAGGCAAAGGAACGGGCCTCTGGCAGCCACGAACGCGCAGTCTCGTCTTCCAGCAGCAGCGCTGGGGAAGAAGCTCGTCAGCCTCTTCGTCAGCCCTTGCGCCAGCCTGCTCGTGAAACATCCCGTGAACCATCTCGTGAGCCACCTCGCCCAGAAACTGCTCGCCCCGAAACCGCTCGCCCAGCAATGGCTCGCCCAGAAATTGTTCGCCCATCCACCGCTCGCACCCGAAAGGCCCCGCCGAAGAATATCGAGACGGGACACACCCGGAGCATCTCTCAGCTTCCCGAGCTTGGCCCACCTCTCTCTCCTATCAAAATTTAAATCCGAAAGACGTCTTCCATGGCATAGACATGTCTCAGATGAAAACAGCTTCACGTCGTTATCTACCTTTTATGATCTGCGTCCAATTTGGCTGGCCCATTTTCCGTTCTATCTGCAGGACCAGATAGGATTGGACAAGTTGTTTCAGAATGGAACTACCTTCCACCACCACTTTTTCCTCTCCCCATACTTCTGGTACAATACCTCCATCGCCCACTAACCGTATGATTGATGGATATCCCCATTCCCATTTGGTCTCATATAGGGATCAGATGGCCCACAATATTCCCCTTTGATGTGTACATCTTTTGCTCTCTTGGCATCTTCTCTGAAATTGGCGAATGGCCGGCCGTTTCGTTTACTCGTACTATTTTGCTTGACTCGCATTGTTTCTCCCTCTTTTTTTCGCTGTCTTTTGTCTATTTGGAAGCGCAGCAAATCTCATTCCATGCTTTGCTTGATATTGCAACATCTCCAGATTCCCCTCTGCGGTTGACATTGATTTCCATCATCGCTATTTGCTCCATGCCCGTTTGCTCCGTTTTGCAATGGGGTCTACATTTACATTTTGCTCATTATTGTTTAAATTTTGTATCTAGCGTTTCCTTTCGAGGATTGTACAATAAAGAAAGCGGGAAGGCTCACTGTTCGGTTCGAGCAAGATCATTTCTGGTACAATAATCCCATAGCCTCGCACAGATAAATCAAAACTATTGAGCTATCTAGTAAAGGCCATCGCAAATATCGACAGATGCAATAAGAGTGCTTTTGGTGAATCACGGTAGGTCCACAATATATGAAGAATCCCATTCGACTCCCAACCCCAACGCCAGAGATGTAAAACGAATCAAGACAGGATAGCCAGAGGCCATAAAATAAGCGTGAAAAAGAAAAAAAAAAGAGCACGGAAGAACCCGATATAACCAGCTCATTCAACGACACCCTCTCACTTCGCACGAGCAGGGTTCGACCTCTTCTCATTCGACCGCTGCTTGCGCTCATTACGCTTAATACGGTCCTTGCGCTCAGTCCGCGACATACCGCGAATGTTGCTTCCCTCGGCATTAGCCTCGCCCTCTTTCTTCCACTTCTTCATATCAACCTCAACAAGCCATTGGTTCTCGTCGTCCTTGTTCTTGCCCTTGTAACCCCAGCGCGGCACCCACTCGCCCGAAGCCTCGTCGTATTGCAGCTTCTTGCGGCGCTCCTTGTCCTGGCCCGCAGCACCGGGCTGCTGGCTGTACTTGCCGATGCCCTTCTTGCGGGCGAACAGCTCCCATTTCGTGGGTGCCTTGGGGACGGGCACCGGCTTGTGGCGGGGGAGGTGGATGTTCGGCGCTGGCAGGGTGAGAAGAACGCCGTCGGAGACGGAGGTCTTGATCTCGCAGGTTGTCAGGAGCTGGTTGAGCAGGACTTGGACGCCGTCGCGGGCTGTTGCTTTCAGCGAGGCGTTCAGGGTTTGGTCTGCGGGGAGCTCCAATGGGTTGGGGTCGTTGACGAGCAGGTGGCCCAGGTCGAATGTGTAGGGGGTGGGCTTTGAGACGGTGATTGGCCTGGGTATGGACGTTAGTTTATATTTTTCTTCGTTTTCTCTTCTTGGCTTTTTGGTCGTGTATGCGGTTCGGAGGGGGTTCTTACAGTCTCTCGGTCTTGGAACCAGCCGCAGCCTTGGGCGCGGAGTTCGCCATCTCGATATCAGACATAGCAATACTGTAGTATTGGTAGACTGTTGATGTTCAAAGGTTGGTATCAGCCCGAAGAAAAAAAAAGTTGGTTATCAGATACAGCCGCTTCTACTTTTCTGCCATGACTAAGGCTTCCCGACCGCCTTTCCTTCTCAGGGCGGGCGGATTTCGCATCAAATTATTGACCGAAGTGTTAACTGCTGTTGTTCTCTCAACTCAATTCCCACCCACTTCTCCATCTCAGCACCGGTTGTCCCCTCACTGGCTGCGCCGGTGTTTTTGACAACAATGGCCTCCTCGTGGTGCTGGAATTGCCTCTCGAGGCTTCGCCCGACACCGCGAGCACTCCTCCCGCCGTCCGCAACGCCCCGGATTTCGAGCGCCCCCTTCCACTCCACTGCCGTGCACTATGCCCTGCCGGCCAAGAAGAAGGGAGCTAGCTTGACCTCCATGAAGCACAGACAGTCAACCAGCTTGAGAAGGAAGAAGAAGAAGGTCGCTGACCGCGGCGGACGTCCCCCAGCCGTGGGTGAGCGCAAGGCTTTGCGGAAACGCATTGTCCTGAGCAACCCCAATGCCCTCGAGATTGAGGGCATGCTGGAGCTGTCCCCGGAGACTATGGTTGATTCCCGTCTCCGTGGTACCGTCTTGGGATTGCCTGTGCCGATGATCGATCAATTGAGAGCAGTGCAAGCTTTCAAGCCTAAACAGGGCTGGTCGATATTCCGCCGGCCTGGAACAGTCCTTCGTCGTGATACCATTGAGATGGGTCGTTTGTTTGAGCAGATCTCTGGGGATGGCGATGAGGCCCAGAAGGGCAAGGTTGTCAAGAAAATTGTTACTGGTATGAAGGGATCTGGCAAGACCGTGCACTTGCTGCAGGCTATGGCCATGGGCTTCTTGAAGAAGTGGGCTGTTATCACTATTCCCGATGGTAAGTGTATTTGCTGGTGTATATTCAATGTTGCAGCTGCTGACCTGTCACTCTTGCAGCCCGAGATCTTGTGTCCGGTGAATTCGCCTACGCCGCTATCGAAGATAGCAACCCGCTGAAGTATGTCCAGCCTACTGCAACCTCGGCTCTGTTGACTCGCACCGTCGATGCCAACCGGGAGCTCTTGGCTAGCCTGAAGGTTTCCCAGAAACACCCGAGTCTGAAGATGTTGAAGCCTTCCTCGACTCTTGAAGACCTCGCCAAGCTTGGATTCACTGATCCTGCTGTCGCCTGGCGGGTCTTCCAGGCTCTTTGGACTGAGCTTACTGCTACTGCCCCCGCCGCAGGATTGGAGAAGGACTTCCAACCCCGTCCTCCTATGCTTGTTACCGTGGATGGTTTAGCCCACTGGATGACCGAGAGTGCCTACCGCTCCGCTGAACACAAGCCGATCCATGCGCACGACCTCATTTTCGTCCACCACTTCCTCTCATTGCTGAAGGAAGGTGATTCCCTGAAGAATGGCGGTCTCCTCCTTTACGCCACCTCATGCTCGAACAACCCCAACCCCGAGGGTCTCAAAATTGCTCTGGCCCGCTTGGCCGCCCGTCAGGCCGGTATCAGCGCCTCCTCGCCGGAATTCCCGCAACTACCAGCCTACAGCGATGCCGATCCTCGCGTCCTGGACTTCTTCCAGTCCGCAGAGAAGGCTGTCAGCCCACTCGAGTTGCAGACGCTGGGCGGCCTCACTCGCGACGAGGCTCGTGGTTTCATGGAGTACTTTGCCCGCAGCGGCCTGCTGCGTGAGATCATCAATGACCAGTGGGTGAGCGAGAAGTGGAGCTTGTCTGGCGGCGGTATCATCGGCGAGCTGGAGAAGTTCGGCCGTCGTGTTCGCGCCACTGCTTCTGTCTCGAAATAAGGGTTCTATCTTGCATTTCTTTCTCTTGTCTTATCTCCGGCTTTCAGATTTGTGTTTCACGTTTACAACTGTATATCGGATCCTGGGGTTTTCCTTGTGTGTTCTTTGCCCATGTATTTTACAAATCTCACTTGGTCCGCTTGTGTCTGTATGCATATAATGGATTTGTTTTTGGAAAAGTTTTATATTCTTCGTCTCTTGCACCTACACGATAACGAAAGACTAATCCGAACAATAGAGACTCGACGTTGAATCGATCCTCTAGTTCACATCCAATCCAGCAACACCTCACGCATCCAACTTCTTCGGCCTAGGCGCACGTACCAAATCAGGATAATCAAACTTAGCCGCCACATTCAAGAACGAATTAGCCGGATGCGCCTCCTTACGCACATCATCCCCACGACACAAAAAGTTCATCGGGAAGCCAACATCAAACTCAGAAGCGCCCTCAATCTCCGCCAAATCCTCATCGGACAAATCAACCCCAAGCCCCTCAATATTACCCAACAAATGCTCAACCGTACGCCCACCCACAATCGGAACCACATACGGCGCCTTGCGCATCACATACGCCAACGCAACACTGGTCAAAGCAGTTCCATGCCGACCCGCAACAGCCTCCAACACCTTCGACACCGCAACGTCCCGCTCCGTCACTGGATTCTGTCGTCCGGGGTTCCCGCTCCGGGCGATCTCTTCCCGCTGCGCGGTTGTTTTGAATGCGCCGCCGCCGAGAGAGGCCCAGGGTGCGAGGCCCATGCCTTCGGACGCGGCCATGGGGATTATGTCGCGCTCAAAATCGCGCGTTGCGGCGTTCCACTTACCCTGGTAGACGGAGAAGGGGCGGAGGCCGTGATCGCGTGCGTCTGTGGTTTTTGATTTTGGTTAATTTGGCCTTGGACTTGGTTTGGGGGAATAGCGGTAATAGCTAGCTGTAATGTAAAACTTACATTGGTTCGCCTTGCTCACGATCCATGCGGGGGTATCGCTGATACCCAAGTATAGAACCTTCCCAGCTAAGACCAGCTGGTTGAGCGAGGTCATGACCTCCTCGATAGAAGTGCTGAAATCCCACCAGTGGACGTAGAGCTATATATACGGAAGTTATTTGTTAGAATAGCCCGGGGAGTAAGTAAGCCGGAAGAAGCGAGCAGCCACGTACTAGATCGATATACTCCGTCCGCAATTTCTTCAGACTTGCTTCGACAGACAGCTTCAGGCTTTTGGCATTATTGCCGACGAAGTTCGCCTGAATCTCAGACTTGTTGTGCGTGCGGTAGGGCGAGGTATACTTTGTCGCGAGGACGATTTGGTCGCGCACGCCGCGGGCTTCCATCCACTCGCCGAGCCATTTTTCGGATTCTTCGGCTTGGTAGTTGTTGGCTCTTTTGGTTTTGTTAGTGATTAGATCTTTTAGGAATATTCAACACAGATTGATTGGTAATATGCATACGTGTCGATGAAGTTACCTCCGTTCTCGTAGTATGTATCCAGGATCTTGAAAGAGGTCTCTTTGTTGCATTCGCCGAGACGTTCTTTCCTGTTTTAGTGTAAGTTATATTGTGTTTGGATATATAAGGTAGGTATTCCACGTACCAGCCATCGCCGAAGTTCATCGCTCCCAGGCATAGTGGGCTTACTTTGACGCCGGCAGTGGGCGCCAACAGCCGGTAGCGGCCGAGATGGGACTTTGGGGTGGCAGCTGGGGCAAACATGATGGAAAGGGGGATTCAGTGTAATTTAGTATAGAATTGAGGATTGAAGATTAAGAGGATCAGGAGGATCTCTTTCCTTTATAGCCGAAGTCATCATATGCGGGGTTGAATGTGTTAATAATCCGGTGGTTGCATCGAGGTGTAGCATGATGCCTTTAATTCCTAAGTCCGGCCAAAGCAGCATTTGGAGGGGATTTAAGGTTAACTCCGGTTTTATGCAATAAATGCTACTTATTTACTCTTTCGCATGTTGAAGTAATGAAATAAGCCCTCGTTCTATTTATAGCTGAGATCCCGTAGAACTTCAACTGGACACTATATACGGGGCTATCCCCGTCCCATCTCCAGAATACTCCTCCTCAGTCGCCTCCTCAGTCGCCTCGTCAGTCTCGGATTCCGGGTCATCGAGATCGTAGAATTGGTCATATATATCATCCACAATCTCTCGGTACTCCATCAAATAGTCATCAAGTTCAGAATCGCCCTCTCCGAGAACACCACCCCAAGTTTCCTGCTTTGGGGGAATCACCACTGGACCTGGTGTCCAATCAGCATTCCTATTATCCTTAGTAGCATCGCGAACAGACACAGATCTGGCCTTCCCCTTATCAATAGAAGGAGCAACCCCCCTGCCTTGGCATCGAGGACACTCGCAGTTCCTTCCAAATAGCTGCACGGCATGCATATTGAGATCGAGGTCTTCGCCGACGGGATCAGCGATCCTATAACGTTGATAGGGAATTCTGATCTCTTCCCCGGCTTTGATGTCCTTGTTCGCCCAGATCACTACGCGGTTAGGGACCTTGTCATCGTATCCCCACAGTGCGTTCTCAAAAGGGCGACAGGAATGATTGAACATGCTTAACCCAGGAAAGAGGTAGAAGTTCCCAAATGATGGCTCCATTTCCGAGATGTCTTCTTTTTTTTCTCTCATTCTACTCTGTAGAGTTGGGTGCAGTACCGGTTTGGGACCATCACGGTCCTTGAACGTTGGGTTTGCACCTCGCCGCGTATGTTCCCAGGGTACAGCATTGACTAGCAACTTCCGCAGCACCGTCTGAATAACCCAAGTATCGAAGGAGAGGTCGCTGAATATGTCCACTCCAAGGTTGGAGAGGATATCAAAAGGTACCTGGATATTCCCGGCCAGAGTAAAAGGGAACCAGCTGTCCCTCCAGGGCTCGTTCGTATCGGTACCTGCCTCGAGAACGAGGAGTTCGTTGATCTCATGCGCGAGAAGATTAGGGTCCTCTTGGCGGCGATGGAGCGTAAGTTCAAGCACACTCTTCAAGAGTAGACTCAAAATAGTCCCGTGGCGTTCATTGGTGTGGGTGAAATACTGCGATCCGCCCCATGCCACTTTATTTGGTCGCATGGCATCGTGCAACCATCCCCAATCGAGACCACAGAATTCTTTGAAATGGTATGTTTCGCGCGCAATGTCCAAGCAATGAGGAGCCACTCCGTCTGATATTGCATCATTGGGAAAACAGAACAGCAGACCGCCCCTAGTAGCTCTGGAGTAGCCTACATCCACACATTTACATATTATGTCAAGGCACGCGCAATCATCCGGGTGTACCCGTCCGGAAAGAGGTGCCGGGTTACGAATGGAGTCCCAGTTGTGCTCGATATGCCGAACCAAGTCTGGGTTAATCACGGCTTGACAGTTGTCACATCGTGGGGCATGGAGAGGGTCTTCACTTTCATCGTCAAGCAGCCTGTTGGGGATGAGAATTCCGCGAATAACTGGTTCCTCGTAGTGAATCATGGTTCCTGCTTTGATGTTTGCAGTGGCAAAGACCCCTAAACCATTGAAGGAATTGTCCTCTTTGAGGGTGGGCTGCACCTGGCATGTCCGTTGGGGAGACTTCCCGCCATTGCCACTAACCGTGAAGATATTTGCATTGAGTGCATTGATAAAATATGGTGCCTCGCGTCTCACGTCTGCTTGGTCGTATGGATATCTATCGGCGCCTGAAATCCATCCTCGGCTCCACTCATGTCCGTAAAGGGATGGATGAAGCGCTGACGGATTATCTCTTCTGTGCTCGATCTCCGCTCTCACGGGAGCGCTCACCGTCATCCTTTTCTTAGGAACTGACATATCGCGGTATGACAGGGGTCTTTGGAGTTGACCCTGCATATGGTCTTCGAAATCATCCCAGCAATTCAGTGCTGCGAGGCTGAGACTGGTGATGCTGTGAAGAGCGTTCCTCAGAGTTGGGATGAAATAGTTGATACCGTTTGCCTTCCTCATTTGCAGGACCTCCCTTGTCATTGGGACTCCCTTGATCTTCAATTCTACCATCAGGTGCTGCTGGATGGCGTCCCAAACACGGGTATACATTCCTGGCCGCTTGTTCCTTTGGGTTGCTGTCGTCAACACTTCGCAGAGAAGCTCTCCGCGATAGGCGTCTCCAATGGCGAGATCGAAATAGCCCAGCAGATAATGACAATAAGCACGGCTGTTCCAGTAAGTTGGATTGTACGGGCTCAGTTTAATTGCTGCTGTGTACATTTCGAGTGCAGACATATCTGTTCTCGTGGCAGGGCTCATTACAGGTCTTGGCTCACGATGGATACCCCAATGACTCAGGTTGCTTTGTCTCGAGACCCCAAAGCGCTCATCACATTCGTATTCCCATAGACGGCGTTGTAGGTCTGTCTTTCTCCCGTCTGTGCTTAGACCCCTTAATGTCAGTTCATCGGTGAGTGTATCTTTTGTCCAAAGATCCGGATCTCTGACGTTCAGCCCGTGTACAAAAACCCTTTGCTCCAATGCATCTAGCCCCTGCACGCCGTTGTAGGTCTCATCCAAGCCCTCCGCGGTGAACCGGGCTCGTGCATCATCACGCGAGATAGGCAGAATTGGATTGCTCATCAGGTGTTCATAGACATTGTGAGCCAACGCATGCATTACCGATTCTTCTTCTTCGATTGCTCGTGTATAAGGTCGATTGGCATGTGCCTTCCATGCACGTCCGAGGGATTCGTCTGGCTGCTGCCAAAATCGACGGGCAAGAAACGCGTTGTCTTCAGTCAACGCCGGGGCTAGTGGCGCTCGATTGAAAAGATCCGGCCGCTTTGGAAACGGGGGTGGGTGGACAATTTCTCCACCTGGGTAGACCTCGTATAATCGTTTCCTCGGATCCATTTTGATACCTTGGTGTATCTAGAATAGACAATCGTTCTAGGGATGGGTATGTGAACGTGGAAAGAGTATGGCAGGTCTCAGGATTTCGATTTCCTTGGGCCGCATGAGACTGTGAGTCCAACACAGACCCATGGAGTTGCCATGAGAGTATAAATGTCAGATTAGTATCATACTTGCCGCAGATCATGGCTGAAGGAATCCCCATATCAAAGGGTCGGGAGACAAAGAAAGAGGATGGTTTATTTTCGGAGAGAACGCCGATTGAGGGTATAGTCCAACAAAGAACAGTGAAAAAGACGTGTTCTTTTGGAATAAACTTGCTTTCGCAACAAAGGAAGACAACAGGTCCCTTGAATAACTTCATATCACCAATATGCCTCGGAGGTCCTTGAAATCCACTCCACTTTTAGCGGGAAAACCGCCAAGTATACTCCGTACTAGAGATAGCAAAACAAAGGATGAGATGCGACTATGGGATTTTCTGGAAGGCTTGTAATCCTAGGCCTCCAAGCCCTTGGATGCATCCCAATAGATACATGTATATATGCCCAACGGGCAGTGGGCTGTCGTAGTTAAGAAGTTGCACTGGAAGTCTCGTGGGGGTGACGACCCCGTGCTGACCCCAACCCCAACCCAACACGAGGATCAACACAGCCCTGGAGGAATCCTTCGACACCTTAAAAAGACCGGACTCTTGAAATATTCTCATGTCTTGTCTTTCTAAAGTGCTCTGATTCATCTTACCATGCACGGACAGTCTGGTCCTCCCTCACAGCCAGAATGGCGACTTCCTCCGCGTCTCTCCTCGCCGTCGCAACCAGGGCCTCCTCCGCCTCCACGTCCCCCGGTTGCTTCATATGCACCAGCTGTTCAATATTCGCCGGCTGCTCCATATTCGCCAGCCAACTATGGACCGATTTCAAATCCACAGAGACTGCCATCACCGAGTGCGGGTGCGGATACAACCACGTGGGGAGTGCGGTTCAACCAGAGCTCCGGCCCCCCATTGCCGGTAAGTCGAACGTTAGAATTTCAAAGTCGCATAACTAACAGTCGCATAGCCTCGACCTTCAAGTACAAATGAGCAAAGGTACGCCTATGCGCAATCTCAGTCGTATCCATCTGTCGCAACTCCTTTTCACGGAATCCAACCCTCTCCGCCCCCACCTTCATATACAACACTACCACCACCACCATCTGGTGTTCCACAACCGCCGCCAAAAATCCCACAAGGCACTCAACATGTAGCGGACCAACAAGGCGATCAGACGGGGCGAGCTCCACTGCTCGCCCAGGGCGCAGGAGCGGCTGCGATGCCTGGGTCTTACGAATTCCGCCCTGCGCCTACCCTCAATACAAATACTACATCTATCGGCGCATCGGCTCTGGGCCCTGGAACTCCATCGGATTGGGAGCATTTTGGCCCAACCCCTGGGCACTTTGATGATGCAGCGTGGTTCCCACCTCGCAGGACGCCCTCTCTGCATCACGAAGGGTCTCAACCACCATCAAGGCTTCCGGACGATGTTCCCAACGTGTCTGTGGAAGACGAGTCGGACATTGTCGCTCGTCCGAGAACAGATACAAATCAAACGCTTCCAAGTACTGTCTCTGGGGTCACACAGTCGGGACAGGGTGGCTCAAATTCACCCGTCAGTCCATGCACAACACATGGAATACCAACACCGCCCCAACTGGTCCGCGCGGATACCACCAGCTCTGCCTTGTCTACAGGTGGACGTTCAGAAAGCATCGATGACGTAATAAATGCATGGGTTCGCCCATTATCGCCTGCGCATAAACCAGTTCAACCGGAACATCAAGGCCTCCCCGGCGCATTCTACCAGAATAGCCCAGTAGAGCGCCCGCAGTCAACGCAAAACAGCTCGTCATTTTTCGACCATTTGCAATCGGGCTCGAATGGTTCTGCGCAAGTGGTCGAAGGACCCAGAAGGGTGGCTACGCCAGTAAACCAAGACCCCTTCGAAGATCTGGACCCCTGGGCCAAATCATCATTGGAAAGATATGTCGCCATGCTACGTAAGGAGGCAGTGGCTGACTTAGATGAAGAACGATATAAGATCTTCACGGCTTTTATGGCCAAAGAGACTAAGCTCCGGCAGATTCTCTATAATATTGAGCCTGAGCCTGAAAGTAAATCGCTGACTCTGCAAGCTCCTAATCCTGCCCCTCCTCAGCCGCTACCAATTTCCAATAAAGGCGAACCAGCTGTTGAGTCGGGACTGATACCCGTTGCGTCAGAAGAAATTCCTCCCTCGGCGGCAACGGCAACAGAGGATGAAGATCTCGATGATGTTGGCAGTGAGTACAGTTCAGGTGGTCGTCCTCTGCTCGTTAAGAAAGCGCAAGGAGGCTCGCAGGCTGTTCTGGGCTTACCTACTGCGCCCTCGGGCGCAGAGTCGAGTCCCTCAAGACCCTTATCGATCATATCCATGGATACGCAGAAGCAAGTCTTGGAGCCCTTGACTACGAACCCCCCGCGGCCTATATACACGCCATTCCAGTATACAGAGGGTCCCCAGCGAGGCTCGGACAACCTCACCTTTGCTCGCCCGGCATATCAAGGCTATTCTGACCTGCGGCAAGCAGCTGTCAGTGGGCGAGTCATGTCAAATGCACCAGCACCTACATCTCGATCGAACTCAAATACTGCACTTGCTTCTTCCGCGCAGAAAGATCCTGACGAGACCTTTTTGGGTCTAATTCGTCACAAGAGCGTCGCTTATTCTAAACCGGCTGAGCGAAACTCTCCACCGGTTCCATTGCTGCCAGAAACTCTTCGTCAAGGCCGGTCGAGGGGCCTCGTGGAAGAATTACGCACCATAGTACGGACACCCTTGGACAAACGGTCTGAAAGCTCATGGCACATCACGACTCGGGAAGAACTTGAAAATTTTCCTGATGATTTTTCGTACATCCGACGGACCGTTGATCAATGGGAGGAGACAGCACGAGCCAGACGGCAAAAGCTGGAACACGAGCGCATGGCTCGTCAGGATGAATCTGAGCGGCACATCGATGATCTTTTCAATGGGAAAGAGATCGGGTATGCAGACATCAATACCTTGGAAGAAGAATTTCGGCAAAGCGAAGCTCGGGTCCAATTAGAGGAGGAACGACACGAAGTAGATGATTTCATGACACATGTGTTCAATCCCTTAGATGAAGGCCTAAAAAATGAGATTTCGGCACTTCGCAAGTCCTACGACTCTGCTCTCAATCAACTCGACCTTGATCAACAGAGCAAAGGTTCACCAAGCGAGCGAGGCAGCCCATCCGTGACCATGAAAATTGTCAACGACCTTCACAAAAAGCTTGAGATCCGATTCCAGAAACGTCTTGATATAGCCCTTGACTGTGAGCAACGACGGAAGAGGGCTGAGCGGCGACCACTTGTGGTCATGGGTGATATATCTGGTCTACAAAAACTAGACGGAGAGTTTGACCAAATGGAACGGCGAAACATTCTGGAAGCGTGCAAGGATCGTGATGACCGAGCCAACCGACTCATGGATTCCTTCGACGACGCAATCTTGCACGGGCTAGGTTTAAATCAGAGCCTCCTGGACGAGGTTGCGTCGAAAACAGCCCGACTAGATACCGCCACCTTCCGAGCCTCCGGTCTACCGCGCTCTGAAATTGGGCAGATTCTCAAATCCGCGGCAACCTTTGCGGCGTCGCTCGGAGCTGATTCGGAGGCCATCATCCGCAGCGCTGGGGTTGCAGATATGATCCTAAACGATGCCGACTATGGAGTCTCCGTCGCTGAAGCGCGATATGCCAACTCAGATCCGGAGATTTTCCATCGGCTGGGGGCTGAGAAGATAAAAGAGGATGAGAAAATCCAGGGTGAAATGGGTTCAAAGTTGCAGAGCATTCAAGAGGGGCCTGTGCAGATCGAGGCCACCATTCAACGCCTTCTCCTTGGCTTGCACAACGACCCACAAGCCGCTGCCCCTGTCTCTCCAGTTCAAGGCTTCTCCTCAACGAGCCCATCTGGGGAAGTGCCTTTACATCCTCCAAGTCTTCGCCCTTCGACTACTAGCCCGGGTCCATCTCCCAGTCCCGCGCCCGTGAGCCAAACTACGGATGAAGACTTGGAACATAAACAGAGGCTTCGCAGAGCATTAGAGGCAGCCAAGCAGCGCAACGCTGCCAGGGGCCATTGACCGAGTTGGGGGCCGAATGGAACATCCACGACGCGACGAATTGTGATGAATTTCCTTGCGTTTCTAGCATACCCTTTTATCTGTTTCCTTGTCCTGTCCTTCAAATGTTGTGTTTCTGCTGCCACGCATTTTTGGTTGATACCCACTTTATGCAACTAGTTAAATGAAGACTGCCCCATGACATTCGTTCTTTCTTTAATCAATCAACCTTTGTATCCAAGATTGGTTCCGCTTACTCCAATCCTCGACCTCATTCGCTATTAGGATTAGTAGAATTCGAAAACAGATTACCCTTGAGACATTCACGCTTTCTTTCAAAACGTTGCCAGCTTGCGCTAAACTTCATTCAGTCAAGGAAAGTCCCACATTGTTTTCGTAATGTAACTCTACCCAGGGAGGGGCGAGTTTACAAACATTGAACATTTGAAGCGGGGGCTTGGGCATCTTTCAAAATATTCACTTCCCCGTTGCCCAAAAACTCAACCAGTTGACTTCATTGCTTGCTCAACTTGAATCCACATCCAGTTCACAATGCAACCAATTTCTAGAGTTGACTGGGACAAAGGTGATAATGATGGGCTTGTCACTGTCGGTTCCCATAACCTCTACCTGTCCGTTTCGGGGCCAGATCGCAAGCCTGGAGAGCCTATCGTCGTTCTCATGCAAGGCCTTGGTAGCACGGTTGATGAGTGGATTGCAGTGCGAAAGCTTGTGGTTCCATTTGCCCGTTGGTTGAACTATGATCGTTCAGGGTTGGGCAGGAGTGAAGGTCCCAACCAAACACCACCAAGCATATCTGCAGCATCAGTCGCAGCAGAGCTTGATACCCTTCTAAGGAACGCCAGTATTGAGCCTCCGTTTATCATTGTCGCCCACTCATGGGGAGGCTACACTTCTCGCGAGTTTCTGGAACTCAGGCCCAATGATGTCGTGGGCATGGTGTTCGTGGATTGCAATACTGAACGTTTATTTGACAGTGGTGCGTGGGGTTGGGACGTTTTCGGTCCAGTCCTCGGTGACCAAGACTTTGTTGAAACCACCGGTCTTGCAACGTCCCATGTCCTATCCGAGGAGGAGTGGAAAGCCGTCAGAGACCAGCAGGCTAATCCCCGACATCGACCTACCGAGGCTGCTGAGTTGCAGGCGGTGCCGAATAACAGACGGGCATTGGCCCACAAGAATCAACCTGAAAAGCTACCTCTCAAGGATTATCCGGTCAGTGTCATCATTGCGGATACACCTAAAGATTTCCAGAAAATGTATGACTTTGGAGTGGCCGCAGGCAATGGAACAGAACAAGAACGAGCTCTGTTTCGAAAATGTCTCGATAGATGGCGCGAGATGAATGAGGACTGGCAAAGAGATCTTTTGAGGCTTTCTCGTCTCAGCAGATCTGTTCGTCTGCATTGCAGTCACAATGTGCAGCTTTTACAACCACAGAGCATAGTTCAAGAAATACAGTGGACCATAGACAGCTGCAGATAACCCTCAATCTGCTAATGAAGCCTTGAGCTCCCGGCTTGCAAATCGGACCCTCCAATGATGTGACTTTGCCTTTTGATCCTTGATAAAGAATTTGGAGCCTCGGAGGAATGGTGCGTGGTTGCGACCGGGCAGGTGCGTCCGAATATTGCTGGTGGAGGGCCATTTTCAGCGTCAGGAAGTGCCAGTTTCGGCCGTCCCAGCACAAATGGTTTCTGTTTAGGGGGTAAATTGTCTATTTTGATTATTTTGTCTCGTACAATTAGTTTATAGCCAATTCCTACTGTGTGAACCCCGGTTATTGTCTGCATTCTTCTAACTGTATTCGAGTTTATAATATTCTAAGATTGTATGTTTGTCGAAGTATACGCCTTGTTCGGGTCAACAGCACAAAATTTGACGGAGTCTTTTTCCCGATGTTACACAAAGAACCTTTTGCATCCTGAACTTGTATTTTTGGCTATAAACATCAGCACTATAGCATTATGTCTTAACCACCTCCAGAGTTCGCAGGACGACTTTGGTAATAGAACCAGTGGTTGACATCATACATTCTTTCCCCCTTCAGAAGACCCGTAAGATTGCGATACAGTTTGAAGGCCATGCTGATTTTGCTTCCTCCTCCTTCGTGCCACTGTGGCTGCGTCACGTACAGGAGGAATTCTGTCAAGTGATCCAACGTGCAGGACAAAAAAGAACAGCGCACAGACGATATCTCCGAACCCTCAGCGAGCCAAACCCAAGAAATTTAGCCATCTAGGGCTTGTGTGAAACTGACCATTTCTAGGCGCCGAGGGATGGCGATTGGCAGACGATAAAGCCGAGCCAGAGAGCTAAACGCCAATTTCTGCCGATCAACGCTGTTGCGCAGTCAAAAGTGGCTGCCGCAGCTCGACCGGTCCTTGTCTCCAGCTGCCCCGCATTAACTTGCAGGGATAGAGGATTACCTCTAAACCCAATACCCAATATGGCGGGTCTTGCTGTGCCGCACAGTTCCCTGCGTGCCGCGCTCGGATTCGCTACGCTTTCGCACTATACAATGGATATCGTCATCCCCGGACACGCCGCTACAACATAGTCTCCTGCGCAGGATTTTTGGACCACTTGACATGTCGACTTCGGTTACAGCTCGGTGATCCACTCTTTGGTGATTTGTCTGCGCGATATGCAAGGCAGACCCCTGCTATCACCAACACATCTATGATCCTGGAGACCTCGAATAGTGTCTGAGGGCTTTGCGGCGTATGGGATTGCTTATCCTCGGCTGTGCTCGCCGTCCTTGGGAGTCAAGAGCCTCAGTATTCTCATGGGAGTGTCTCCATGTCTTCCAAGCCAATCACCATCCTCGTTTGGGATAGTCTGTCACATTCGACCACGTTGATGGACAGGGATATTGCGCTTTCTTTGTTTTTCTCTTTGAGGGTTGTTGCGTGGCACCTGGACAAAGAGAGCATCGGGTGACCTATCCGAGAGCCAGCATCCTAACAATTCTCCACCATGGAAAATACCAAGGCGCAATCCTAGCCACAGAAAAGGAACTTATCTGAATGGTGGACCCAAGTGAGGCTGCTCTGGAGCTTGGAAACAATTTCCAATTCCTTTTCGGTTTCTCGGGCGGCGATCGCAGCTTGTGCCTTTGTGGTTTGACCTTTGGAGTGTACGGGAAGCACGGGAAGTACTATTCCCGTTATCTCGTTCCTGTCCTTTTCTCTGCTCTTTTTCCCCTGTGTCGGGGTCAATATCTATACCGCCAACAGCGTCTACATGCAAATACGAGATGCAAGCTTTGCATTGGCCAACTGTAGAATCAGCCACCGTGCGGCTCTCGGGCATCAACAGACAACATACCATGATTTTTAACTTTCAGTCGATTCCAGTCACATTCTTTTCAGTTGCATGCATTGCTCTCGGACAAAAGAGCGCAGCATCTTTACGAGACATGGCCCTGTGTTCCCCGGAGACCGCCGTAGCCATGCCCGAGGTCAGAATCTGTTTTCGGGTGCCAACCACTAAACCCCAGATCTTACCACAAGATCCCCCATTAGTGGATGTCTGTGCGCTGTGCGATGATGCTGATCCTATGAGACGGTACTAGGATTAAACGGCGCGGCCTTGTCGAGACATCACCCCTTCCTTTTCCTCCTGCGGCACCTCCCATTGAGGCTCCAAATCCCCCCCCCCCCCTCTTTGCGATCTGAGCACTCACCTTTCACTAAGCGCTGTTGGGTGGGAAAAAAAAAAACCTGGCAAATCCAAAGATCGATTCCCAGCCGGAAAGGTCGGAGATACAATTATTTTGCGCAGGCGAAATGAGGACAAAGACATGAAAAGCATTGTGTCTCTTCAATGGCCCCTGATTATTTAAAGCGGGCGCCAGGGAAGCCAGTTCCATGGTTCAGTGTACCCGCTTCCGTCCATGGGTCGGGAGAACTCTGTGAGTCTACCAAAGTCCACCGTGTGGGAAAATACGCTGCTCTTCGAATTCTGTAGCCCCTCTTTTGATTTCTGGAGGGGACGCCTGTCTTCCCTCTTTTCTTTTCGCCATGTCCGCTCCAACGGGCCAATTCCACAGGCTGTCCATTGGTCGAAACATGCCAGATACGGCCTTGCCTACTAGAACGGCCCGCACGGGGCGGTCGGACTCTTCCAGCGACGAAAGTGATCATGGAGAGGCCGATAGCTCTTCGGAGAGCTCCAGCGATGGAGAAGAAGGGGACGAGGGTGAGGGCGAAGAAAGCAGCGGTGACGAACCATCCGAATCGAACAGCACCTCCGTCCTCGCAACATCCGGCATCACCTATGATCTCAGCCAACTAGATTCCGAGGCTGAAGCTAGGGCCTTTGTGGGCTTGACTGGCCATTTCGATGTTGTCAACTGTCGCTCTACTCCCGCCGGGTATGACTTCCAGCTGTCGGATCGGCCACAGGTGCACATTGGCGCGGACTCGTCTACCTGCACTTGCGCGGCCTTCCAGGATCGACCGGACGGCGCGTGCCAGCACATCTTTGTGAGTGTGCCTTTTTGGGAAAGGAAGCTTAAAACTTGAAGGGCTTGAACTGCCGATACTAATCCCCATCCCCTGAACAGTGGCTCGTCGATCAACTGCACGGCTGCTTCCTCCCCGCGCCTCGGTCTACGGAGGTGGCACTGACTCCAGATGGACGTCCGGACCGTCTCCCTCGCATTGAGGACCTTTTGCAGGGGAATCTGATGTCGGTTGCAACGCAGCTCAAATGGCCGTACCAACGGGACGAGGAGGACGGCATGACGCGGACAGAAAAGGTCCGGGACATTTTCTCTGCGTTCAGCAACCGGACTCTCCCAGAAGACACTCGCCGGGACTTGACAGAGACAACCGAGCAAGCACGAACCGCAGAGCAGTGCGTGGTGCAAGGGGATTTCGAAGCGACCATGTTCCGACTCGCAGTGCACGATGACGGGGTTTTCAACAGCCTATGCAAGGCGATGCCCGCCGGCGCGTGTGCGGCCATCTACTTCGACAAAATACAAGAGCAGT